TTTAGTCAGGGGCACTGACCTCTTTTCCCTTAGATCAGTGATTCTCAACCTTCTGGCCCTTTAAATACAGTTCCTCATGTTGTGACCCAACCATAAAATTATTTTCGTTGCTACTTCATAACTGTAATGTTGCTACTGTTATGAATCATAATGTAAATATCTGCTATGCAGGATGGTCTTAGGCGACCCCTGTGAAAGGGTCGTTTGACCACCAAAGGGGTCGCGACCCACAGGTTGAGGACCGCTGCCTTAGATTGTTAAATAATAAAATGACAATATTCCCTGGCTAGTGTTGCTAAATGGTTAGAGCATTGGCCCAATCACTAAAGGCTGGAGGGTTTGATCCCTGGCCCCAGTTGGGGCGTCTATAGTAGGCAACCAATTGGTGTGTCTCTCTCACATCGATGTTTCTCTCTCTCTCTCTCTCGCCCCTCCCTCCCTTTCACAGTCTCAAAAAATCAATGAAAAAAAATATCCTTGGTAAGGATTAACAAAAATGATATTGCTTTTGTCAGATCAACAAAAATTCTACTCTTTGCTGTGCCACAGAATTTTAGTAGTTTATGTGTGTCCTGAGATGAAAAGGGTTGAAAATCGCTGTGCTAGGCCTGCTGCACAGGCACCTGGCAGCTCCGTGCACCAGCAAGGACAACCCTCACAAAAATAATGGGACAGAGAAAGCAAGTTGGCGATACAAGTTGAAAACATATACAACGATGCTATATCTTGATTACGGCTACATACACATAAAATAAGAATGGCAGGGAAATATACGCGTTTCCGAATGAAATGCACCCTTCACAGAGGAATGATCCCCCTGGGAAGGGGAGTATGAAGGAACTGATGTCAGAAGGGACCATATGTGCAAGTTTTTTTTTTTTAGAAAAAAAAATTATATAGAAAATGGTAGGGTTTGCTTGAGCTCAGTGGTAGGCATATGGGGTTTGTTATTATTCTGTTTTTCTGTGTGTTTGAAAAATTTTATTAGAAAAACGTTCTTATTTTCCACTGGCTGAGGAGACTGTCTTTGTGCTCCCGTTGAGCTGATAGGGAGGCAACTGATTTTAACAGACGACACGTGGACGGAACAAAGGCAAGGAGGGCCAGGGAGTGAGGCAAGCCACCTGTTCGGGTGTTTCAGGCATTTTGTAACGCTGTACTTTCAGGCAACTGTTTGAACCTCAATTTCTTCCCTTGCAAAATGTGGATAATCTCTGTCTTGCCGACTTCACCGGGATGTGTGAGAGATGAGCCATGATAACAGGAGGGACGTTGGAGTAATGGCTGCTAATGATGGAGCGGTTACTGTGTTTTCCGACAGGCACCACACATCCATTATTTGCTTTACGGCCGATGAAAGCGCTATGATGTGCGTATTGTTCTCTACATTCTTTCATGTACAACATCGTAAGCTCAGAAACAGATGGCTGCCCCATGCTCTGCCTTCCAGAACCAGTCGGGTGTTTCAGGCATTTTGTAACGCTGTACTTTCAGGCAACTGTTTGAACCTCAATTTCTTCCCTTGCAAAATGTGGATAATCTCTGTCTTGCCGACTTCACCGGGATGTGTGAGAGATGAGCTATGATAACAGGAGGGACATTGGAGTAATGGCTGCTAATGATGGAGCGGTTACTGTTTTCCGACAGCACTACACATCCATTATTTGCTTTACGGCCGATGACAGCGCTATGATGTGCGTATTGTTTTCTACATTCTTTCATGTACAACATCGTAAGCTCATGCAGCCATTGTAAACAGATGGCTGCCCCATGCTCTGCCTTCCAGAACCAGGCTTTCATAAGACGCAGCGTTAACCTTGGGGCCTGCTCCCAGGTGGCGCTAATGAAAGAGTGGATGGGGTTGTTCCCCGGACTCCCATCCCCCTGGCAGCTCTGATGGTTTCCAGTCCTGTCCTGCGGGGAGCGTGCCAGGGAACATAGTTGACACCCGACATGGCTGAGCCTGTTCCCTGTCAGTCTGTGGGACCAGGTGCATGTGGTTTGTTTTCTGCTGGGACAGTCATGCTTTCTGAACCGTCTCATGGACGTTCTTAGGAAGAAACTACGGCCCAAAAAGCTCGCAGTTGACTCATCTGGGGATTACAGCTGTCAGGTAGCATAAGAGGACGTGGGGCCTGGCCTTTTCCATGACACCTCACTACTTATGGACCGTGCACTCAGGAGTCCTGATATCTGGCAAATTCAACAATCGGATTTAACATACTGACTATTCATTTTCTTGTTTTTTAAATATATTTTTATTGATTTCAGAGAGGAAGGAAGAGGGAGATAGACACATTAATGATGAGAATCACTGATTGGCTGCTTCTTGCAACCCCACACTGGGGATCGAGCCCACAATCCAGGCATGTGCCCTGACCGGGAATCGAACTGTGGCCTTCTGGTCCTTAGATTAATGTTCAACCACTGAGCCATGCCGGCTGGGCAACATACTGAATATTTGTTATGTGGAAAGCCTGATTCTCCCAGCTCTCCTGTTCCCAGCATCCAACTTATATGAGAGCGGACAGGATTGGCAGGGAGTTGACCCAGGGCGTGGCACTGGAATTCCTCTGGAGCAGCGTAGGTGGGGGTGGGAGGAGCAGACGGGTGTGACGGATAGACACAGAGCCTGGCCACTGTAGTCTCCGGACCAGCAGAGCATTTGTAGCTGAGGACCAAGGGGCAGTGAGCTGTCCCAGGAACAGGAATCTGGAACATGCTCCCAGACCCACAGGCAGCTGGAACACCCTTAACCAGGGTATTACCTCCTGTTCTTGTGGAACCCAGCCCAGCACACCCGAGGGCAGGTTCCCAGGGCTAACGGGCAGGAGGAGGTGTAGCTAGCTGCTCCCTCACCTAACTCCTCTCTGGTGCAGAGAAATCAGGAGCCAGGCCAAACCTTCTAAAACCCGTTGGGATCAGAGCAGGCAAAAGAAGTCCCAGAGTGCCACTGGTCTTCTCGTCCCATTTGTCTGCTTGGCCTTAACCTCTCTACTTTGGCAGATCCCTGGGCGAAAGGTGTAATTACATTTTTTCCCCATGGTTGTACTTCCTGTCGCCATTTATAATTCGCTCCCAACTGAGTCAAGAGACAGAGGTGACATAACTTACCAGCTTATCTGGAAATGTTCCTCAGTGTGGCCCGACTCGATCGAGATCTCCAATCAAATCTCTGACTCAATGTTGTATGCAATCATCTCTTTTATTTTAAACCACACTGCATTGAGCATCAACACAGATGTGACTTAGAAACCCACAGCCTGGTCCCAGCAGGTGATGGGTCCAGTGTACGACTTGGGGTGGACCGTTATTGTTCACAGTGAAAGAAAAAAGAAAGAAAGGATGAAATGGACATTATTCCCAACTCCTGTTTGGGAATCTGAGTGATGAAACAGGAGGGTTTTAAGCTCATAATGCTTTTCTTAACCCCTTTCTCTCAATCAAAGATGATGTTCAAACATGGAACCTGGGCTGGTAGACCAGCTGAACTTAGGCAACAGAAGGGCACGCTGTTTAAAATAACGTCCACACGTTACTGCAAACAAAAAAAGGGGGGGGGGAAACAGCTGCGCTTTCTGATAGTTTACTTTTTCCTGTTTGATGAGCTCGTGCAAGTTTACAGGATATCAGATCTGCACAAACACAGTCACGACAGAGCATCTGCTAAGTGTAAAGACTTTCTGTTTAGGAAAAAGCCTTCAGCTGACCCCTGGGAAACAATGTACTGAACTGGGCGGTGCCCACACCAAGAACAGCAGCTTGGGCACCTTGATTCTGATTTTTCAACTACGACCCCACAGAAACATGTGGGATCTCATGAAGACTGGGAGTATCTTCTGTTTTTAAATCCAGCTGCTTTTTAAAAATTAATATTTTATAAGATTATTTCCTCTAAGGCAGGAAGGGAAAGTTAGAAACCCGGCAGGTTCTGGCTCCCATGCCAGAGGCACACGGAGGGCTTCTTTCTGTTTGGGGACCACCAAGGTTCTTAGTGTCTGAGATAGGTGAGCCTCTGGCACCGCCAGGCTGCCAGCAGCCTCCTGAGCCACCATCAGGGCTGAGGTCTCCATAGTCTAGATCAGCGGTCGCCAACCTTTCGGACCTCATGGACCACCAGTGGTCCATGGACCACTGGTTGGCAACCACTGGTCTAGATCAAAGCAGCCAATCTGAAGGGCCTGTGTCATGGAAATGAGAAGGCCACCCCCTTAGCACTGGCTCCTCAGCATCTGAGGGAAGCAGAGGGTCAAGTAGGAGCAAACCTTTGCGTCATCAAGTCATCGCTGGAAACGAGGGGAAAGCAAGCCTGGAGGCTGCCCCGTAGCTTGTTAGCTTGTTGTGAGATTTACAGATTGCTCCAGCTGAGATTCTTCCACTTGATTATTCACACCAAACCAGGCTTTAAAGATGGACCAAACTAGACCGGAATGTGTCCATTTCAACAGATCAGAAATTGCAAAATGCTGATGCCATTTACTGACATAGCACTAGACCCAAGGACTCCACTGGTATAAATATTTCCAGATTCCTTTGCATTTTAACAATAACAGAGAACGGTTAGAACAAAGGCATGACTACGGCATCTGCCCTCGATGGAATTACATTGTCTGAGTGACAAATCAATCTATAGAGTGTGCTCCATTTCCTATGCATTTTGTTTTCTAAGTCATCTTTCAACGGTTAGAACAAAGGCATGACTACGGCATCTGCCCTTGATGGAATTACATTGTCTGTCTGAGTGACAAATCAATCTATAGAGTGTGCTCCGTTTCCTATGCATTTTGTTTTCTAAGACATCTTTTCCAAAACTTGTATGTTAAAAAAAGTTTCTCAAAAGACAAAATATTTAGAGGAGCAAGTCTTGTGGATGATTGTTCCTGCGGTTACTCTTGGCAGGCGGAGGGATCACCATGGATTCTGAGTGGGGGGGCCAGGCATTTCCATGGGTCATCTTCTCCCATGTGCTCAGGGACAGGGGAGGTCGGAAAGTCTTTTTAAAACATGTTGGCAGAAGGGCACAATTCTTCAGCTCTTTAGGGCCTGTGAAAACAAAGAGAGAGACGATGGTCACTCCTTCTACTGGCATTGGGAACGGGAATCCCGTGAGTCATGTGCCTCTTGTCCTTCTAAGTGTTCCAATTCTGGAGCCTTGCGCTCTTCTTTCTCAACCATTCTTCCTCCACGCCTGGCTCCCACACAGCCAGGGTCCGATTCCTGGGCATCTCCAAATACATAAACTTGTGACTGTACTGTGAATCGTGTCTCTCAAACCCCCAGATCCATGGCATCTGTCCTCTTCCTGTCCCCCAGACTCCCTAGTCATATATCATCTTCCCAACAGAAATACAAAAAAAGGTTTCCTCTGGCTATGAATTCTAATGTTCTGAATTCTTAGGGAATTTTAACAAAGAAGAAGAATCCCTTCTCATCAGTAGCCAATGCGAGGAGTACACTACCATGTGTGTGGGTGTGTCCAGGGCAGGATGGAGGGAGGGACCCCATCCCAGCAGAATTCCTCATCACTAGGAAGCCCTGGCCCCACAGCAGACGGTCTTCTGGAAACCTCCCACCTCTGATGATTGGAAGCAGGGTGATGAGGTGTCAAGTTCAAACTTGGTTTGGGTTTTCTCTCAAGTCGTTAGTTGGAAAATTAAGACAAGAGGTCAAGTTTGGTCAGAGTTCAATGGAAGTCAACCATAGAGTCACCTCTGACTCTCTTTTCTTAGAAACACGTAAGGCCCACGTACACACTTGTTCTTCTGGGGAAACTTCAGATGCAGGGCTTCTGGAGGTCGGGGCTTTTGACCTTGACCTTCATTTCAAGGTTTCCATTAGCTCCAAGGTCAGAGCTCTAGAAGTGACTACCTTCACTTATCTATCACATGGGTGTAAGTTGTTTACTTACGAGTACCTTCCCGACATTTTTCGCACGACCACAATGATGATCCCAGCAATGAATCCAATGCCTAGTAAGACACCAACTATGATTCCAATCAGGGTCCCAGTCGAAAAGCCATCTGAATGAGAGGGAAGAAACCATGAGCCCAGGTAAACAATACACCTGCCATACAATGTGTCATCCACAGCGCCACTGCCCTACTGTAGATCGAAATCATGTTCTATGGTGTTTCTCCTGTATCCAGTGGAAGCTGTTCTAGAAGAGGAGAAACCTGGGCTATTCTAATCTCATCTAATGAGTGGAAAGATTTCTGGGTCTCAAGATTGATGAAATATACCATTCATACAGCATGGAGTCACAGTTAATCATTGGGTAGCGTCACTCTTAAAAACAATAAACTGTGATATGACACCATTCTCCACCAATGTCATTAAGTGAATAGACTCATTTGTGGTTTGATTATTTTCAAAAGGCAATTCCCTTTTCTCTCTTAAAAGAAGTTTGAAACCTGTTTCTTGGAGGGTTCTCTATTCTGCACTTGTTGACTCCAATCCAGAAAAGAATGTAATTCATCACAAAGATTAGGTTCAAAGAAACCCCCCACTTTTAAAAAAAAAATCTGAAAAGAATATTCTGATACCAAAACCTAGCTTACCTTTCGCACCTGTTGTCTGTGTGTCTTCTGTAAAGAGAGATGTAATGATATAGAATTATTAGGATTTAATAACTGTAATTTAACAATTGGCAAAAGATAAGTTTACCCTAAGAGGAAGGGAGCAAAACACAAGCAAAGAAGATAATTTCTTAAATAAATTGGATCAGGGGATTTTTAAGCAAGATTTGACACGATCCTGTCTTCAAAACTATTATTACTGAATTTATGAATGCTTCTTCATGCCTATGGGTCCAAAGTACTTTTGTGTACATTAATTTTCTGCTATCAACTCAAGGCAACTGGCCCACGGATGTTTTAAATAAATGATTAGGAAGTTTCAGAGCTTAGGGTAACAAAGAATCCAAGGCTGTTGATTCTTGGTCCAATGTCAAGGTCATGGAAAACTCACCCACTGGGATGAGGTCTGTTTTGAAGAATTTTCATTTTGAGAGCACTATGCTCTAGTTTTGGAAGGTGTGGCCAAGACTGAGATTTGTCTTTTGATATTAATTGCCTGCTTTTTTTAAAATATATTTTATTGATTTTTTACAGAGATGAAGAGAGAGGGATAGAGAGCCAGAAACATAGATGAGAGAGAAGCATCGATCAGCTGCCTCCTGCACATCCCCCACTGGGGATGTGCCTGCAACCAAGGTACATGCCCTTGACTGGAATAGAACCCAGGACTCTTCAGTCCCCAGGCCGACGCTCTATCCAAGTGAGCCAAACCAGCTAGGGCAGCTTGCTTTTTTTTTTTTAGTAGCAAAATTCACAGCTTACAGGGCAGTAGCAACATGCCCAGCTCAGTTTAATGAAAGAATACACACCTTGTATTCATGCCACTGTGATTTTAGGATTTCTACCTGCAGCCAAACCTAGTTCAATAGTTGCAATGTGAATATTTTCATTTACCTATCACATGGGTATCAGTTATTTATTTACAACTATCTTCCTGTAAATAAATAAGAAAATGGTGAGTTTCAGATAATTTCACATAATTCCTATTTAAAAGTAAAGGTGTTTTGTTCTCTCCCATCAACCTCTCTGTAGAGAGTCCTTAACTCCTCTGGGGGGGTGTTTGTTTATCTAGTTTGCAGATGGAGAAAAGTCAAGGTGCCTTGATTTCATGTTTCAATGGAGGGAAGTGAACCAATCAGGCCCTTCCCTACAACCTTCGCTCACAACTTGCAAAATGCAGATACCCAATAACGTTCTTAATGAAAGATGAAACCAGCTGTCCATCATCTACAAAATGCTTGCTTTTCCTAATGGTTGGGTTTGAAAGAAGCCATCCCTTTGAACCACGGCTGTCTCCAGAAAGACACCTTTTCAAGGGGGCCCCAGGGGAGGTAGGGGTCTCCCTGCATGAGCTGAACCTATGGCTCGGCACTCACACGGAGCTCAAGTGGATGGGGCTATCCCACCATAAAAGTGTTTTGGAGGCTGCTGGACCCGAGTCCTGCCCAGGACAACAGCATCGTCAAATCAACTCCCCAAATGTCATTCATCCCCGGCTGCCAAATACCAGCAGAAACAGGTCTAATTGTTTGCTTATCATGTCTTAACATGGTGGCTGCCAATTCCATCAACCTCAGAACACACCATCATCACCATCAATGACACCATGAGTTAGGAAATACCAAAAATAAAGTTTATGGAAGTTCCTTACTAAATTAGAACGTATTAGTCCTGTCCTCTCTAGCTCCCTTGCAATTACATGGCTGTGATCATAAAATGTGTCATAAATGTGAACATCATCACACTTGGGCGTTTCATGGGAAAGACATCTGCTGCCCTAATGAAATGACCTCTTAAAAAACCCAAATGCTTAAAATTACATTTTAACTCATGTAAAAATTTCCTGGGACACTGATATATGAAGTGGGAATGTACTGTTAGTCACAGGTTTTGTGACGGGTGGGGCAGGGGACACCACAGAAGAGTAACCAGGAGTGTTTTCCAGGCAATTGAGGATTTTTTAAGGATTAGAGAGGTATCCTGGCATGGCAGAAAGAATACTCAACTTGGAAGGTTCCATTTTCTGCTGCCCATTAGCTGTTAACAATTTATTTTCTTGTGTGTGTGTGTGTGGTTTTTTTTTGTGTGTGTTTTTTGTAAATCCTCACCCAAGGATATTTTTCCATTGATGTTTAAAGAGAGTGGAAAGGAGGAGGAGAGACAAAGAGAGAGAGAAAGACAGAAACATAGATCTCAGAGAGACACATTGATTAGTTGCCTCCCACACACACTCCAACCAAGGCTGGGATTGAGCCTGCAACCAAGGTACATGCCCTTGACCAGAATTGAACCAGGGACCCTTCATTCAATACATGGCCGATGCTCTATCCACTGAGCCAAACCAGGTAAGCTGTTGACCAGGTAATGCTCCATTTCTTTAGCATCTTGGGGTGACCTTTAAGCTTTATTTTCAAAGCACTTTTAGGAAGTTTTTTTTTCTATTGTGGTAAAATATACATAACACAAAATGTACCCTCTTCATCATTTTTGTGTACAATTCAATGGTAGAAATACATTCATATTGTTGTGCCATCATCACCAACCTCCATCTCCAGCACTCATCTCACAACACTAACCTTATACACCCATTAAACAATAACTCCCTCCTCCCTCCTCCCCAACCCTAGACGAACATCCTTCTACTTTCTGTCCCTATAATTTTGACTACTTTGTGTAGTGTACCTCATCTGAGTGGGATCGTACAGCATCTGCCTTTTGGTGACTAGCTTATTCTAATTAGCATAATGTCTCAAGGTTTACCCATTTGTATTATGTGTCAATTTCATTCCTTTTATAGGCTGAATAATATTCCATTGTATGTATTCAAGGTGCCTTGATTTTGTTTATCCATTCATCTGTCAATAAATTCCACATTTCAGCTACAGTAAATAATGTTGCTTTGAACGTAGGTATACAAATATAAAGCTTTTTTTAAAAAAACCCTCACCTGAGGACATGTTTCTATAGAGGAAGGAAGGGAGAGAGGGAGAGAGGGAGAGAGTCAGGGAGTGAGAGAGAGAAACATCAATTGGCTGCCTTCTGTAATGCCCTAACTGGGGATCGAACCTGAAACCTGGATAAATACCCTGATCGGGAATTGAACCGCCATCTTTCAGTGTTCGAAACAATGCTCCAACTAACTGAGCCACACTGGCCAGGGCTAAAGCATTTTTTTAAAATCCTCAGAAGTGCTATAGATTTTGTAAAACCAGATTGGCTTTGGGTCTGGAAATGTATATTGACACTAAGGAATAACTTTCTAGGAGTTCAGGTGTACATTTAGTTTGAGGAACCACTGTACTAGGCAAAGTCTTTGTGTTTACTTTCATTTAAAGATGGAAATACCTATCACTTGTTCTCAAGGCAGAGAACTCTGTTCAGTAGCCCAATTTTATCTAGATAAAATGATTTATACAAAATAGCTCAAGTTAGTAATCACTCATTGCAGTTATTGGAGGGTTAGTTCCTTTTCTCATTCACCCCTATATACTACAAAATTAGGGTATATTAAAAAAAGGATTTAATTTCTTTTTTTTTAAAAAGCTCTAGAAATAGGAAGCTATCTCTTTCTATTGCTGAGTTGTAATGGCAATGATCTGTCCTTGTTTTTATCAGTGATGGTCCAATCCTCATAATCATGGCAAAGACCCAACGTCCTCCTCTCTAGTTTCTCTCTAAGATGTTCCACTCATAAAGCTGCAGGTGTCAACCGGGGATCACAAGTACAACCCCAAATCCTGGTAAGAAAAGATTCTTGCTCCCTGGATACAGACATGAATTCTATATAAGATGGCAAACAGTACGATAGAGCCCACTGAGATTTACATAGGTTGGCTGAGTTTTATGCTTTTAGGTAAACACACAAAGTTCTTAGTGTAGCATTCTACCCACTTAGGGTCAGCAACACGACACCAGTAGCTACTCATCTTGCCCTGGTGGGGGTATTATCACTTGTTCTCAAGGCAGAGAACTCTGTTCAGCAGCCCAATAAATCAAATTGGATTTAGCAACCTAATACATCGAGTTCTGAAACTTCCACATAAAGCTTGGTTTGGAATTCACTCTTGCATTCCAAAAATATGCCCTGCTGATTATTACACTTGGTCATGGTTTCTGGAGGGTAATGATTATGCAAAACAAGATCAATCCATGTTGGGGTGACCAGTTTTCTTACCCCTGGGGTGACTAGTGGCCCCATTCAAGGCTGTGGTGCTCTGGGTTTCTTCTTGGGCATGGCCTGTGCTTTCTGTAGTTGGCAGATCCTCTATAGGAGTGTCTGTGCGCTTTGTATTTGTGGGCACCTATTGGAGATGTAAATGAAGCAAAACAGAAATATAACATCATGTTTTAAAATATATACGCGGCCTTATAACAGAAAAGAATATACATTGGTGGCATAAATATATAAAATATATGATGACATAAATTTAAAGTGGAAACCAGAAAACGAACAAACAGAATAACGGGAACATGAATAAAACCATGCCTCCTGAAATGAATACTGAGTGTTTACTTCCAGGGTCTTAATTCTTGCTGACTTCCTAGGGTCATAATTCTTCAAAAAATACCAGCTCACTATGCTTTAATTCTTTCTCTCCCTTGAATTTGAATGGCATTTCCTCCCTGCAACATTTTTGGGGCATATATTATGTTGTATTATATTTTAATGTCCTCTCTCTCCCAATCAGAGTAATAGCTAACCTTTATTAAAACTTACTATGTGCCAGCCCCTTTAAATACCTCATTTACTACACACACACACACAAAAAAAACACACGTGCATGTGCACAAAACCCCTATGATGTAGATCCTATTATTAGTCCTATGGAATGAACAAGGCTTAAAGAGATTCGAAAATATGCCCAAACTCACATAGCCAACAAGTGGCAGAACAAGACTTGGAAGTGGTTCTGTTGACTCCAAAGTTTAGGCCAATGTAACATTCAAAAATATGCTAATGAACACAAGCAACAAAAGCAAAAATAGATAAATGGGACCTCATCCAACTTAAAAACTTTGTGCACCCAAGGACACAATCAACAAAGTGAAAAGGCAACCTAGGAAATAGGAGACAATATTTGCAATTCATATACCTGGTAAGGGTATCAAGAAATCCTACAACTCAACAATAAGAAATCAAATAACCTGAGGACTTTAATACAATAGCCAACAAGCATATAAAAAGGTTCTGAATCTCAGAGAAGTGCAAATCAATACCTCAACAAGATTACCACCTCACACCTGTTATCATGGCTACTATCAAAAGAACAGAAAACACTGTGTTGGCAAGGTTGTGGAGAAATCGGAACCATTATGCACTGTTGGTGTGACTGGAAGTGGTGCAACCACTAGGGAAACAGGATAGAGGTTCCTCAGAAAAATTAGGAATATAATGACCATATGATCCAAAAATCCCACTTCTGAGTATACGTAGACCCAAAAGAACTGAAAGTGAGGTCTTGAGATATTTGTACACCATGTTCAAAGCAGCACTATTCATAATAGCCAAAAGCAACCCAAAAGTCCATCAATGCTGAATGAATAATAAAAATGCCGTATATCCATGTAATGGAATATTATTCAGTCTTTAAAAAGAAGAAAATTTGGACACATGCTACAACATGGATGAACCTTGAGGACATTAAGCCAAGTGAAATAAGCCAGTCAGTCACTAAATGACAAATATGGTGTGATTCCACTGATATGAGGCACTTAGAGTAGTCAGAATAGAGATAAAAAGTAGAATGGTGGTCACCAGAGATTGGAGGGAAGAGGAAAAGGTGAGTTGAATGGGTGCAGTTTCAGATTTGCAAGAGGAAGACAGTCTGAAGATTTGTTTCACAAGATGAATATACTTAATACTACTGAATTATGGGTACGCTCAAAAATGGTTCAGTTAGCCCTGACCGGTTTGGCTCAATGGATGGAGCATCAGCCTTCGGACTCAAGGGTCCCGGGTTCGATTCTGGTCAAGGGCATGTACCTTGGTTGCGCGCGCATCCCCAGTGGGGAGTGTGCATGAGGCAGCTGATCGATGTTTCTCTCTCATCGATGTTTCTGGCTTTCTATCCCTCTCCCTTCCTCTCTGTAAAAAATCAATAATGGCCCTGGCCAGGTGACTCCAATGTTTGGAGCATTGTCCCATATGCCAAAAGGTTGCAGGTTCAATTCCCGGATAGGGCATATACCTAGGTTGTGAGTTTGATCCCAGGTTGGGTGCATACAGGAGGCAACTGATTGGTGTTTCTCACATCAATGTTTCTCTCTCTCTCTGTCTCTCGCCTCCTTCATCTCTCTCTAAAATCAATAAACATATCCTCAGGTGAAGATTTTTTTAAATGGCTCATATGGTAAATTTTATGTTATGTGTTCTGTAACACAATAAAAAATATGCTAATGAGTATCTACCATGTGCCTTGCATGGTTCTCAACCCTGGGGATATTCTTAAACAGGGGCTGGCACACTTTTCTGTAGAAGGCCAAATGGTAAATATTTTCTCTGTTGTAACCAACTACTCAACTCTGCTCTTAGGGTATGAAAGCAGCCTGAGATCATTCTCAACTGAAGAGGCACTGCTGTGTTCCAGTAAAACTTTATTGACAAGAACAGGGTGTGGGCCCAATCTGGTGAGTAGTTTGCTGTCCTCTGGCCAGGAGCGTCACTCCTGCGGGGTGGGGATGGGATTCCTTTAGGCCTCTTTGAGATAATGAGTGAACTTAAGAATCACGAGAAAAAAATCAACCATGGACTGACCTGGGGAATATTCAAAGCAGAGAAAACAGAAACCTAAGTGGGAATAAGTCCAAAGGTCAGAAGGGCCCACATGGCTGGCATAGAGGACTCGAGAGGGACAGTGGTGCAAGGATGTCACAGAGGTGGGAAGAGCCTCTGTCCCATGTCACTACAGTCAAAGCTCCTCAAGGGTGGAAGGTGTGGCCTATATCCCTCCTCAATGCCGCCCAGAGCCTGGCGTCTGGTCTTGCCCCTGGCAGGGGCTTAAGATATGTAGGACCTGATTAAAGGTCATTAGGGTGGGAATGTGTCAGTTGGGACTCCACATAGTCTACACCAGTATGGTCTGGGGGTGGCCTCTCGTCGGTGCTTATTACCAGTCACAGGATGACAGGAAGTTGTGAATACATATCTAGAAACTTTGATAGCAATCCAAGACGTGTCTTGTATTGACACATGGGCTATAGTAGACTGGACATCTATAAACCTACCTCCTTACCAGTTTGAGAAGCCCTGATGTAGACACTCGAAGCACCTGTGACCAGCACACCAGTTACCTGCCAGCTGGATGAAACTGGGAAGTCCTTTTGTTGCAAGCCATGTAACAACTCCTTTGTATGGTCCCACTGATTATATATATATATATATACATATATAAATATATTTAAATATATTTATGCGTCTATGTCCTTGCATGTGATTGCATGCTTACAAACCCAATTCCTCTCTTCCTCAGACACTCACCTGACTTGTGAAGCCAACAGGCTTATGGGACTGTTCGCTGGCACCTGGGGTCATCGTGTTACCACCCACACCTGGGGTCACCATGCCATTTTCCATACTTGCGGTCGTAGCTTCATCTTCTGGCAGGACTGTGCTGGCTAAAAGAGAAAGACGGAGTCAGGGCTCACGGTGGATGGAGTGTGTGGGCAGACCTAACGGTCTGGCTACATTGGGATTATCTTTCCCCATTTCTTTTTGGGATTTGTTGTTACATTTCCTGCTTGGCACAAACCATTCTCCTTGCTGCACCTCTGGCACATGCGATTGGCCTGGTTGTCACCATTGCCCAGGAAAGGAGGGTGGAAAGAGAAAAAGCTGAAGCAGCCAGCCCCTCCTTGATATCCCTCTGGGGCGGGCTGTACACCTTTCCTTTTCAGGTACTATTTCAAATGCTGAAGGAATGTATTCAGGTTACTAGAATATCATGGTGACTTGGAAAAATTCTAAATTATAGGCACCTCGGGAGAGTTCCAAAACCACTTTGCAGGCTCTACCTCCAACCTCCTGAATCAGAAACGTCCAAAAAGCAGGGTCTCCATCTTTCCAAAGTCAAGCTTGCCCTCCATTTAACTTGGAGACTGCTGCCCACCTGAACGGTTAGCCTTGGCTTTGACCACTGACCTCAGAAATTACATAGAGTTCAACCTCCTATCTTCCAGTTGGGCTAATGTCTGCAGGGGAAGGTCAGCAATATACTTAAGGATGCCAGCGAGAACTAAGGGAACTCTCCGTGCACCAAGAGCTATGCTACTGGGAGACCTTCCTGGCCCCGGACCTGGCTCTCCTGCATTAACACTGCGTGAATGACCCCGTTGTGCCAAAGAAAAGGTTTCTGGAAGAGCAGGGAATAGCAAATTCTAAAACCGGGCAGAGAACAGATAACAACAGTGGCCTCTTCTTCAACCTGTATCCCAATGATCTGAGCTAATCATGACCAAGCCGGAGCACCATCTCAACTCACCAGATAACCCTTTGCTGGTTAAAAATCTGACTCATTGGCCACAGGCTCCATCCGCAGACGCAGAGGGGCTCTGGAAATCCCATGACTCAGTACAGTTGCAAAATAAGGGAGCACACGCATCCCAGGAGCAGAGGGAGGGGTGCTTGGGGACTGCTTTGAGGGTGTAATTAGAGAGCGGATGTTCGTAACCAGGCCGTGCTCAAGTCAGCCAGCAGCCCGCCCTTGCTTTAAGATGCCTATTCCTCCCGATGCTTCTTGCCGGCCCAGCCACAGGCGCTGCTAATAAATATTTGATCACGGCGTCTTTGCTGATGCAGAGGGAGAAAGCCTCCAGAGTAAATTCGTTTGTTCTCTCTGCAACTAGTCCTACTCCAGGGCTGCCGATCAATCTCTTTGGATGAACCTACTAGTATGCATTTTTCATCTGGGTGGCGAAAGCCCTTCACCAGTTAGCAATGACTGAATAGTAGCTCAGCGCAGGCAAATGGTTGGTCTTCCCTCTGAGCCATTTGCTGGGGTGGGGGAGAGGTGGGGCAGTGATTGGACCCCACGGGGATTTAGGCCTGTGCTGTAGGCAGATGTTGAATAAAGTAATGGATTCTCAGGGGCGAAATATCCCTTTGCCTGGCAAGTAGTCCTTATTAAAAACAAACAAACAAACAAACAAAACACACGCGCACACACATGCACGCACAAAACTAAATATGCTATTTCCTTTTCTTCCTCTCCTGCTTTGAGCTCAACTAACAAGTCATCAATGTAAAAAATGTTTTCCGGCGCTGCTCAGCAAAACCACGTACTACGGCGCATCCTCTAACTTTAAAAAACAAACTACCCTTGCTTTAAAACAAAACAAAACAAAACAAAAACAAGTACTGAATGAAGTTGGTCTGAATTCTTTCGTAGAAAGTTCAGTTCATTGAAAGCGGAACGATAAAAATTCCTCCTGGTTCTTTCCTACGCTTGGCCCGCAGAGCCCGGCACTAAAACCGCTCTGAATAGACAAAGGGCGTTTTTATGAATGACACTCGTGATTAAGATGCATGTTCTTCTAGTCTCACGGCCCTGGCATTCTCTTGGCTCCATGGGAAAGTTGATCTTTAACAAGAGATCCTCAGCTGTCTCTCTCCTTAGGTTGGCTAAAGGCTTTCCTGGGTGACGCGGTCCCCCAGCCAGCATTTGCCATCCTTTTCCCTGGAATGTTGAAATTCAAACCACGTGTGGATGCTTGGGACCTCCAATCCTTCCTCCTTCCTGAGACACATGTGCACGCAGGCAACACACACACACACACACAACTGTTTACATAGGTGCAGTGAGGAGACTGCAATAACAGGGCCGGCCAGAAGCAGTGTGCCCTCATGCTCACGTGAACAAACGCTTTCCTGTCACACCCAGCCTCCCCCAGCCTCCCCTAGACATGGCACAGAACCAATGGAAGTTTCCAAATGCAGTGGCAACCCATCCATTTACTTTGGAATATTTTTGTGTGTGTTGTTCTTTAAAAAGCCAGGCCAACGTTTATACTGCCTATGAGAAGATGGTGTGGATAAATCAATTTCACCTTAAGGTTCTTAAATTGGAGAACAAACAAGAACTAGAGAGATGCTTAATGGTAGGAAAAATGCTAATTATGAATCGTTATAATCTTGGCATTAAATAAATGATTCTAGTTTACATATATGTATGGGATGGCATTTCTTTTAAAATATCTCGGAATTTAAATGCAATGATAAACCACACTGTCATTGTCACGGTTTGCAGTATCCTAAATGCTTGATAAAAATCTTTGAATAAATGCTTTCAAGCCTCTGGTTTTACTGACATTTCTTTGATTAGCAGTGGTGAGCTGTTTCATCTGTTGGCCATCAGAAAATATCTTTGTAACCATTTTTCTCTTATGGTATTCATGGTTTTTTATAGTTTTGTAGATGTTTAGATATTTTTTTTATAACCTTAAGAATATATTCCCTGGAATAAATGCTGCAAACATTTTACTCTTTTGTAACTGGTGAGTTTTGTTGTTCTATATCTTATTTCTTGCAGCCAGAACGAGCTTTTTCAAATAAAAATTTGACAAGTCATCCCCTTGTTTAAAACCCTTCGATGTTTGTCGATGCTTTTAGGATAAAGAAAAAATTCTTCACATAGTCTACAAGGTGTCACCTACTTCCCATCTCAGCTTCCTCTCTATTACTCATACTCTCTCTCTTTTTTTTCTTTCTTGATTAAGGTATTACATACATGTCCTTATCCCTCCATTGTCTCCCCACCCCCTTACTCATGCCCTCACCCCCTGGTGTCTGTGTCCATTGGATAGGCTTATATGCATGCATACAAGTCCTTTGGTTGATTCTCCTCCGCCCCCACCCCCGCCCCCAGCCTTCTCTCTGAGGTTGAACGGTCTGTTCAGTGTTTCTTTGTCTCTGGATCTATTTTTGTTCATCAGTTTATGTTGTTCATTATATCCCACATATGAGTGAGATTATGTGATATCTTTCTCTGACTGCCTTATTTCACTTAGCATAATGCTGTCCAGGTCCATCCATGCTGTTGCAAATGGTAAAAGTTCCTTCTTTTTTATAGCAGTACTAGAAGCCCATTGCATGAAGATTCATGCAATAGGCCTTCCTTCTCCTGGCTGCTGGCACGGGTTTTCCTCCGGCACCCGGAACCCAGGCCTTTGGTCCTGCCACAGTGAGGCTTGGATTCTCCGCTGCAGCTGCAGTGGAGAAGCCAAGCCTCTTCAGTCTTCAGTCTTCACGCCACGCCTGCATATGCAAATTAACCACCATCTTTGTTGGGTTAATTTGCATAGTCGCTCTGATTGGCTGGTGGGTGTAGCGGAATGACACCAACTTGCATGTTTCTCTTTTATTAGTGTAGATAGTATTCCATTGTGTAGATGTACCACAGCTTTTTAATCCACTCATCTGCTGATGGGGGCTGTTTCCAAATTTTAGCTATCATAAATTGTGCTGCTATGAACATAGGGGTGCATATATCCTTTCTCATTGGTGTTTCTGGTTTCTTGGGATATATTCCTAGAAGTGAGATTACTGGGTCAAATGGGAGTTCCATTTTTAAATTTTTGAGGAAACGCCATACTGTTTTCCACAGTGGCTGCACCAGTCTGCATTCCCACCAGCAGTGCATGAGGGGTCCTTTTACTCCACATCCTCACCAGCACTTGTCATTTGTTGATGATAGCCATTCTGACAGGTGTGAGATGGTACATCATTGTCATTTTGATTTGCATCTCTCGGATGATTAGTGACTTTGAGCATGTTTTCATATGTCTCTTGGCCTTCTGTATGTCCTCTTCCAAAAAAGTGTCTATTTAGGTCCTTTGTCCATTTTTTATTAGATTGTTTATCTTCCTTTTGTTAAGTTTTATGAATTCCCTGTAAATGTTGGAGATTAAACCCTTATCTGAGATAGCATTGGCAAATATGTTTTCCCATGCCGTGGGCTTTCTTGTTTTGTTGATGGTCTTTTTTGCTGTGCAGAAGCTTTTTATTTTGATGTAGTCCCATTTGTTTATTTTCTCCTTAGTTTCCATTGTCCTGGGAGCTGTATTGGTAAAGGTATTGCTACGACATAGGTGTGATATTTTATTGCCTATGGATTCTTCTAACATTTTTCTGGTTTCCTGCCTTACATTTAAGTCCTTTATCCATTTTTAGTTTATTTTTGTGTATGGTGTAAGTTGGTGTTCTAGTTTCATTTTTTTGCATGTTACCTGTCCAATTTTCCCAGCCCCATGTATTGAAGAGACTGTCTTGACTCCATTGTATGCTCTTGCCTCTTTTGTCAAATATTAATTGAGCATAATGACTTGGGTTGATTTCTGGGTTCTCTGTTCTGTTCCATTGGTCTATGTGTCTGTTCTTGTGCCAGTATCAGGCAGTTTTGAGAACTGTGGCTTTGTAATATAACTTGATATCTGGTATTGTGATCCCTCCAACTTTGTTCTTTCTCAGGATTGCCGTGGCTACGTTGGTATTTTAATGGGGATTGCATTGAATCTATAGATTGCTTTGGGTAGTATGGACATTTTAATGATGTTGATTCTACCAATCCATGAACACCGTATGTTCTTCCATTTGTTTATGTCTTCCTCTTTTTTTTCAATGT